CTTCACCAACCCCTCCCCACCCTTCACCGTCCCCAGTGCCTGAGAGCCCCTCAGTGCACAAGTACAACGTGAGTGGCACCAACGGAACCCTGCTGCTTGCCAACATGGGGCTGCAGCTAAATGTCACCTACAAGAAGAAGGACGACAAGGTAGGCTGAGCCCCAAGGAGCCCCCTCTCTGTGCTCCAACCCCTCCCCACCCTTCACCGTCCCCAGTGCCTGAGAGCCCCTCAGTGCACAAGTACAACGTGAGTGGCACCAACGGAACCTGTCTGCTTGCCAACATGGGGCTGCAGCTAAATGTCACCTACAAGAAGAAGGACGACAAGGTAGGCTGAGCCCCAAGGAGCCCCTTTCTCTCTGTGCGCAGGAGTGTTGGTGCATACGAGTGTTGGAAATCCGTGTGTGTGCACGGCCTTTCAGAATACAAGTCAGAGGGAATAAAAGTCAGTGTGCCTGTATCTGTAGTTAGCTTATTGGCCACAGCCATGCACACCCCTGTCATAGTATGGCAGCTTTCCTCTGAAACAGCAGAATCAAGTCATCCTGACAGAGACAAAGCATAAAATGTGCAGTGTTTGGCCTCTACAGAACAAGTTTGTTGACCCCTGAGAGAATATTAAATTTTGCTTAATTCTTACCACTCAGACATTAAAATGTTATTTTTATGCTTTTCCTTTGAAATAATATTTCTCCCTAATGACAAACTCTGTGGGGCTATGTCAAATAACTTGCTTGTGATGAAGGTAAAGTGTGTGACCGCTGGGAGACAGGGTGAGAAGGGCACTAGGATCTGCTACACCTTTCCCACAGGTATGGGCCATTTTGAAAGTAGCAATCAGAAGTAGCGCTAAAAATTGTTTTTGATTCCAGAAATCTGCACTAGCGTAAACTTTTAGTGTTTTTCTTATAGTTTTGGTTAAAATGAAAGTGACCTTGAAGTTACTGTTTTTTAGGATTGCTTTTGTTTTTCAACAATAGAGGACCCAGGGTGGGAGATGGAATGGTAACTAGTTTGCTTTTCTTCGTAGACTGTGACCAGAGTATTCAACATTAACCCAGATAACACCAAAGTCGGTGGGAGCTGCACTACCCAGCAGGTGACCCTAGAGCTCCAGAGTGAGGCCAGCACTTTCCTAGCCTTCCAATTTGGAAAGGTGAGTGTCCCTGTTCACTTCACTCGGGGCTTCAGTGCCAGACCTGCCTGGCATCTTAGCATGCATCTCACTGTGGTTTTTGTTCTACTGTGTTTGCTCACGCACTTGGTGCCTCGTGGCCACAGCGCCTAAGCCAGCCGTGGGCAAACTACGGCCCGCGGGCCGAAATAAAACTAAAAAAAAAAAAAAGACCGTACCCTTTTATGTAATGATGTTTACTTTGAATTTATATTAGTTCACACAAACACTCCATCCATGCTTTTGTTCCGGCCCTCCGGTCCCGTTTAAGAACCCATTGTGGCCCTCGAGTCAAAAAGTTTGCCCACCCCTGGCCTAAGCTGAGCACACCATGTGCATGCCAGAACGAAACTGAACACAGGTCCTGAAACCCAGAGCTCTGCCTTGGGAAGGATAAGTCTTTTTTTTTTTTTTTTAATATATTTTATTGATTTTTTTACAGAGAGGAAGGGAGAGGGATAGAGAGTTAGAAACATTATCAGCTGCCTCCTGCACGCCCCCTACTGGGGATGTGCCTGCAACCAAAGTACATACCCTTGACCGGGATCGAACCTGGGACCCTTCAGTCCGCAGGCCAACGCTGTATCCACTGAGCCAAACCGGCCAGAGCAAGGAAGGATAAGTCTTTTCTCTGCCTTCCTTTTGTCAGTCTTTTTGGACCCTTAGCTCCCCCTCCCCCTTTCTTGTTTACAAATGGACCTTCGTTCATTTATTCATCAGACATTAGAGAGTGCCTGCTGTGCCCAATTGCCACTGTTAGCACTAGACTGCAGACAGTCTGTGTAGCTGCAGAGAGGGAAGGGGTGACTTCAGGGCGGAAGCTCAGGTCAGCCTCTCTCACCCCTTTACCGAGAAGCAGCATCTCTGTATTCTGTACCTCTTTTCTTTTTTTCTTTTTTTAATATATTTTATTGATTTTGTACAGAGAGGAAGGGAGAAGGATAGAGAGTTAGAAACATCGATGAGAGAGAAACATCGATCAGCCGCCTCCTCCACACCTCCTACTGGGGATGTGCCCGCAACCAAGGTACATGCCCTTGACCGGAACCGAACCCGGGACCTTTCAGTCCGCAGGCCAACGCTCTATCCACTGAGCCAAACCAGTCAGGGCTGTACCTCTTTTCTTCATACCTGCCTAGGAAGAATCATACAGAAAGTTAAATATGGGAAGAATAGAAGTACAACTTATGAATACTTGTAATGCACTATCCTGGTGAACTGTTTAACAGTTGGGTTTCTCATAATAAAGTTGAACTTTCCTAAAGCTCAGTAAACATTGGGGGGTGGGGGAGCAGAGTTTACCTTTTTAGAATAAGGCTTCCTCAGTCCTTTTAGCAGAAAATCTGATTATGTAAGAAGATCTGGAAGGAACTAATCAGAATTTATGTTCTTGATATTTATATGATGCCTTTTACAGACATGATACTCTTCAGTTTCATTCTAAAGCTTAGAACTATGATAGATCAAATTTATTACCGAAGTTTACAACAAATGTGTGAATCTGTTAACTGGTTAAGGATTATCTTCTTCTCTTTAAGAATGCGAGTTCCAGCCGTTTTTTTCTGAAAGAAATCCAGTTGAACATGACTCTTCCTGACGCCAAAGGTAAGATTCCCCACAATTCCCCTGCCCATCCCGCTGTCTCGGAGCACTAATTCTCACATGCCTTTGCAGTGCCCACCTTCCAGGCCTCCAATAGCTCGCTGAGAGCACTTCAGGCCACTATGGGGAATTCCTACAAGTGCAACGCCGAGGAGCACATTTGGGTCACAGAGGCCTTTTCTGTCAACATTTTCAAAGTGTGGGTCCAGGCTTTCCAGGTAGAAGGTGACAAGTTTGGGTCTGGTAAGTAGCATTGAAGGCAGCGTTTCAGACTCTGAGTGGGCTTCAGCAGGCTTTGGTTCTGTTTAGATATTTAACAGCTTCTGTGTTGCAAGGAGGGGGTGGGAGTGCAGGTTCCCTTTCCCAGCCTAAGAGAGTTTTAGAGCAAATTTCCCCTTCCTGTGTTAGCTTGCTTCCAAAATGCCCAGCATGTCTCAGCTGTGAGCATGTCACTATTTGAGCAAAGGCAGTTCTTTTAACAAGTAGTGTGGCTCTTCCCCCTATTAAATTGGGATATTAAAATGCTATCTGTTTGGTGAGTTCAGTGTCCAGAAGGGCCCAAGCGCCTAGGACTGCACACTGACCATAATTTCCTAGCCACACAGAATGCCCCGCCTCTGTAGGAGCTTCTCCAAGTGATAATTGATTGAAATTGGAGCCTCCTCCCCTGCTGGGTGTGGCGGTGGGCAGAGGTAGAGAGGAGGGAGAGGCCTCTGTGGGGTCCACATGGTGACAACCCACGTGCACATGGTGCGTTCTCGCTTGTCTCCTCAGTGGAAGAATGTCAGCTGGATGAGAATAACATGCTGATCCCCATCGCCGTGGGCGGTGCCCTGGCAGGGCTGGTCCTCATCGTCCTCATCGCCTACCTCATCGGCAGGAAGAGGAGCCATGCTGGCTACCAGACGATTTAGCCCGGCCGCAGACCAGCAGAAGCTGCAGGGCTCTGTTCATTTCCCTGAGCTTAGGTTGATGTTGAGGGAGGCACACTTTATTGCAAACTGATTTTCAGATCTGCTTTATCCAATGTGAAGTTCATCTTGCAACATTTACTATGCACAAAGAGTAACTATTGCAATGACGGTGTTAATTTTGCTAATGGGGTTAAATATTTTGCTAACTGGTTAAACGTTAATATTTACCAAAGTAGATCTTTAAGGGGGGGAGGGTAAGAGTGCTTTTCTAAATGGGCACTGGCTCCACTATCATTTGACTTTTTAAGGTTCTGGTGTTTAGTTTCTCTTCATTCTTGACTCAGATATAAGCCTTACAAAGGGAGGTTCTGTGGTCTTAACACTTACAACTAATGAAGGCTGGCTAACTGTTAGACTGACACAGTTCATAAATTAGTAGACAGAAGTACTTCAGAAGAGGAAACTCTGGAATGCTTAAATTAAGCTTTAGAAGCCAAGACAGCCCTGGCCCCCACAGGCTGCATAGCTGAGCATTAAAGCGATTGGTCTTTCCATGCTCTACCACTCAAGAGCTGGCACTTTTTTAAATAGAAAAATGGGTGTTATTTTTACTTACTTTTTTTTTTTGTAAAGTGATTTTCAATCTTCTGTTTGAGGTTCAGGGTGATCCTGTGTCTGCAGTTGTGTACAATAATCTGTTCCACTCTCTGATTTATCCGCTTGCAGCTCGGGTGGGCTGTGCACTGAGGATCCCTTCATTTAATGCATTGCCGTAACAATGCTAATAAAATGTCTCTTTCTTTCTTTGTCTGGACCTTGTGCTTTTGTCAGCTCTCGGGATGAATGGTGGAGAGCAGTGTGTAAGCTGGGGTGGAGTGGTGCCAATAACAACTGCACGTGGGGAATCTGCCCAAGCCACCCTGCCTCTAGGAGAGCTGATGTGTAGCCAGTCTGCTGGTGGCAATTTGAGAACATGAGTCGTGCTTAAAGGTCGGTCTTCAGTTGTGACAATGCAGCCATATCGTTGTCCTACCCACTCCATGAGAGTGAGGAGGGGAAGAAGATGGGCCTTATCTGGTCCTGCTGCAGGCCCTGCGAGTTGTTCTTGGAGCTTACAGAGCAGGTGCTCAAGTTTTATTTAATCTTAACTTTTTTAAAAAATATATTTTATTGATTTTTCACAGAGAGGAAGGGAGAGGGATAGAGAGTTAGAAACATCGATCAGCTGCCTCCTGCACACCTCCCACTGGGGATGTGCCCGCAACCAAGGTACATGCCCTTGACCGGAATCTAACCTGGGACCCTTCAGTCCGCAGGCCGACGCTCTATCCACTGAGCCAAACCAGTCAGGGCTAATCTTAACTTTTAAGCAAAGATCGGTGCCCTCTAAGGATCTCTGGGCCTTGGTGGCTCAGGCTGAGGGCAGCCTGCCTGCTGGGTGACCCTGGGACTGGAGTATCCCTGGCCACCTGCACCCCAGAATCTGCTGTGGGTGGGAGGAAATTTTCTTTTGTATAGCTGAGGTAGTCCTGGGTGGTTCTTAGCAGTCCTCTTCAAACCAAGCATAGCAGTATGGGGCCATGTGACAAATACCAAGATGCGGCAGGATTGCAGTTAGGCAGTCTGAAAGCTGCCTGGGGATGGGGTCCAGAGCCTGCAGGCAGCGGCATGACATACAGCCTTAGTGCATCATGAGGTTCTTGGATTTTCATTTCCCCAGTCTGGACAGTACAGACACATTATGCCTGATCCAGAACTGAGAAACCAGCAGTTGGCTGAGAGTCGGGTCTTAGCAGGTGTTTCAGGGTTTAGAGAGCATTAGAAATGGCCAGTGTAGAAGTAGTGTTTGTCTGGAGGGGCAGAGATTCCCAAGAACCCAGACAGCCCGGATGTTGAGACCATGCCCTAGAACAGTGATGGCGAACCTTTTGAGCTCGGCGTGTCAGCATTTTGAAAAACCCTAACTTAACTTTGGTGCCGTGTCACATATAGAAATTTTTTGATATTTGCAACCGTAGTAAAACAAAGACTTATATTTTTGATATTTATTTTATATATTTAAATGCCACTTAACAAAGAAAAATCAACAAAAAAAATGAGTTTGCGTGTCACCTCTGACACGCGTGTCATAGGTTCGCCATCACTGCCCTAGAGGCACAGCTGCTTACATTTCAAGAAGGGGAACCTCCACCACTGGGTTCCTTTCAGGGAAAGCCACCGCTGGTTCATCAGGTACAGCTTCAAGTCATCCTGTCTAGGGTGGGTGTCTCACAGTTCCTGGGAGCAAAAGGCTAGGGATCGCACAGCTCGTGTGGAAGGGTCAGGACTAGGAGCTCTGAGGTCAGTGGTCAGCTGTGCCAACCCCATGCAAGTGACCCGCATGCTTGGCTGTTTCTTGGAGGGCTCCCCAAGCTCAGCGTCTAAAGTGGATTGGACATCCGAGTGCTGTTTTGGTCTAGGTCCAGCTTCATCAGTGGCAGTGGAGAAGGGAGGCGTTACCATGATGGCCCAGGCTGGAAAGGAGGGTGGCCCAGGTGCTGCTATCAGGCGAGGCTGCCATCACCCAGGTCCCTTAACTGTGTCTCCCTTTGAGGGTAAAACTCCCCACAATCGCAGTATAGACGTGGGATGAGGATGGAGATAAGTGGGAGGACATTTTTTGGAGAAATTGGGTGTTTTCAGGTCACACTGCTGAGTAGGGCAGGCAAGCTTGGGGCCACTTGGAGGGGCAGGTGCTGGGGAAGCAGGCCAACTGCTTCTGAGTTCCCACGTCTCCCATTTGCCTGCTCCCAGGGGACCCTGTTTGTTTCCACCTGTCTCCCCTCGCCCCTTGTCATCCCCTGCCCTGCCCCATCCTGTCCCTGTCTGCCCCTGCCTGTCCCATGCAGGGTTCAGCCTACCTAGGCAGTGAGGTTTCAAGTTTTTTTAAATTACCTTTCTAGCCCTGGCCAGTGTGGCTGTTTGTTGGGCGTCTTCTGGAGCACCAAAAATTCCAATTTGACTCGTGGTCAGGGCACGTGCCTGGGTTTCAGGCTCAATCCCTAGTAGGGGGCGTGCAGAAGGCAGCCGATTGATGTTTCACTCTCACATCAATGTTTCCCTCTCTCTTCCTCTCTCTAAAAACCTAAAAATCAAATTTTTAAAAATATTTTTTTAAAATTACCTTTCTAAAGAGAGATCACTGGGTACATTTACAAACCTTACATGAAGGTAAATGCTCTGCCACAGAAAGGAATAGAATAATATTTAATTGGCATTAGCAACACTAATGACAGTTGACTGTTTTGGTTTTAATTTTCAATTGGCTGGCAATCACAAACTCATAGGTGTTGACATACTTTATTAAATACAAACGCACACCTCACATTTTATATATTATTGTCTCAGGTAAAAATATATCTTCAGAAATTTGACTTCATAGCTCATCAGTTACAGAATGACATGACTTTAAATTGCTCTTTTAAAAAATTCACGACTAAAGTGTGGAGACATCAAGTATTTACAGCACTAAAAAGGAAAGCAGTACAAATTGGTCAACTCTGGGAATGAAGCATCATGGTCAGGGCAGAGGGGAGTGTGTCCAGGTCACCCCTGCACCAGCAGCTTGGCCCTGCAGCTCTCCCGAAGCCTGGTGATGGTGGTCATGGGCAAGCTTCCAGGCTCGGAGAAGATTTTCTGGAAGAGGAACGGAATTGGACTAAAAACAAACCAAAGATAAGTTTTTACCTTAGCCGCCCCCTGTTCAAGGTGAGGCTGTGGCAGATGGACAGGCGTAAGGCCACACCCACCGAGGGAAGACAGCCCTCAGCCCCGGGTAGTTAATTATAAATTCTAGATACTAACCCTTATTAAATACATGGTTTGCAAATATTTTTTCTGGTCAGGCTGCTGTTTGTTTCCTTGCCTGTGCAGAAGGTTTTAAGTTTGATGTGTGTATTTTTGCTTCTGTTGCCTGAGTCCTGTGTATTGTTTAGACCAGCCGTGGGCAAACTACGGCCCGCATGAGTAAAACTAAAAAAAAAAAGACCGTACCCTTTTATGTAATGATGTTTACTTTGAATTTATATTAGTTCACACAAACACTCCATCCATGCTTTTGTTCCGGCCCTCCGGGCCAGTTTAAGAACCCAT